GTCAAAACTGAGGTTGCACCTTGTCTCATCTTCGCAGCGCACTATTCAGATCTACAGCTTATGTGCAAGCCAGCAACAACAATGTTCTGCTTGCAGATTTTTTGCTAGGCAGTCATGGCTAAATCTGTGGGCTGCGCAGTCAGGCAGGTGCTGTGCAGTAAAGTACACGATTGCTGCTGTGAGATATGTTCGGAGAACATGGCAGGTTCAACTGCGCCATCAGAAGTGTTGCTTGGTGGGCTTGCCCATCAACATACTACAACTTTGCCTCTGCGCGAGTCAGAGATCCAAAAACCACTTGTGCCACTTACTTGTCTCTGTAGTACCGACAATAGCTCGAATGGTTTGACAGGCACTTTGTTTGTCTGTTGTTGTGTGTTGTGTTTGCAGTTCCGCGCACAATATGGCGCGCGCCCCCATACCGCTCTTGCCTTTGCGATGAATGAGGAGTTTGCGCCTGTGCTGCAGCGGCAGCAAGACTACTACAATGTGGACCCAAGCAGCGACCAACTTCAGAGCGTGCGCGATCAGGTGCGGCACTTTGCACCATCCTGCAATTGAGGGCTTTAGACTATTCTCACTTGATTGTATAGTCCATGATCCACGCGAAGGTTTTGTGCGACAAAAGGCACTGTTCATCATTGCTGCGGTACTTTCGTATGGTCCTGATGCTGGCACAGCAGAAGCAATGCATTCATGCTGTTATGCCCGACTTTGCGTATAAATCATCTTTGATGGGAGGACCATGTATCAGGTTTTCAATGCATGCTCTGGTCACAGCAAGGCCATCCTGCAAACACAGCAGGACAAAAACGCATGACCTGGTGCTTGTGCTACAGAAGCATTACTGTATGCTGTGTTATGTGCTTCAGCATGTGTCTTTGGCAAGCAGATCCATTACACTCTTCCTTTGTTGGCCAAGGCAAGGTGACTTCTGGCCAAATGCTACGCTGCTTGGAGTGCTGGCGTGATCTGCATGACTGCAATGTGACCTTAACGGGATGTCAATGCCATTGGTTTATCAGTGTGCATCCATGGTCTGCCCACTGTCAGCACACATCGACCTTGACAAAGACTGTATGTGATGATTGCCAAGCTGTCATTCACACTGTATTTTCGAGCACATCAGGCAGGTGCATATTGGGACCTTGCTTGCTGCAAACTGCAGAAAGTTATGCACCAGTTCTGAGGCATCGCCTCATAATGTGATACTTGAAAGAAGTTTATGATTCCCAGTACGCGCCTCTGACCATTAATCAACCTGCCTCCTCTGCTCGCCTCTCCTGTTGCCACGAAGGTCGATGCGACCAAAGACATCATGGTGGCAAATATAGAGAAAGTCCTGGAGCGGGGCGAGAAAATTGAGCTGCTTGTCGACAAGGTACGTCAACTGTTGTACTGAAGTACATGAAGATGCTGCTGTTGCTGCCGACCGCACCTTGGCACTTGTCATCTCTCATGCAAGAGTGCCAGCACATAATGTGCTCATCAAGAGCGCTCATATCCACTCTGTGGATTCTTGGTGTCCGCCTGACATCATACTTTGTGTGCATGACGCTGTACTGTGCGTTGCTTTGCAATTCACCTTGCAAGTTGTAATTTCAGTCCAGCGCACGCATTGGCAGAGTCCCCCCAAATGATAGATCTGATCAGTGTAAAAATGCTCGAGATGTGTGCTTGCTGTCAACCGGTGAACGGGGCACATCTTGATGCGTGCCGTTGACGCCCCATGTGGCACACTTGTGTGCTGTCAGCTGCCATTCACTTGAAGTGCAATTGTTTGATACAAGTGGTCAACTCACAGCTCCCACTTGCAGCTACTCAGCATCAAACCCTGCACTCACAGAAACAATTGTGCCTTGGTCTACATGCAACACCTGCAGACGGACCGGCTGAACCAACAAGCATTCAATTTTGACAGGGCATCGCGACAACTACAACGCGCGTTGTACTGGCGGAAGGTGCGCATGTACGCACTTTTGGGGGGGTTGATTGCTGCTCTCTTGCTCACACTTGCGGCTTCAGCATGTGGTGGATATTCCTTCAAGGCGTGCAGAAGTAGTGGCAGCAGGTCAGCGTCCCCTTGAGAAGTGGTAGTGTCAAATGCGGAGTGGGCAATAAGGCATACATCAAATGTACACCACACACAATTGTATCTGTGCATACCATGTATGTGCTGCAGTGGGGTCAATTTGTAACCGATAATGCTGGTTCATTCGCAAACATCGGAATGATTGTTATGCATGATTTGTGGACATGGTGGTGGCACTGAGGCCACTGGTGTTGTTGTCATGGCACCAGGCACCATGATCTTGGCAATTGCTAGATGTTGATGTAAAATCAGGTAGTCGGACCAGTGACACATGAAAACCGGTACAAGTTGGGTTGCCATCGCACCGACATTGCGTCAGCTGCTCGGTGATGCAAAGTATGCCATTTGCAAGGACTTGAAGTAGGCGGACGGAGCTTGCGTATTTGACGTTTTCTTTTGACACCTTGAACTCTCAACCTGTTAAGTTGAATGAAGCTGCCTTTCCAGTGTTTCCACGAGTCTCTTGTAGGTCAACTTAGCACTACTCTTATCTCATTCCAGTACAGTAACTGTGGTTATGCTGAGTGAGGAGATGAGGAGATCCTTCCTTGGCTTCTACGCCTGTGAGCATGAAGACATACCTTTGCATTTATTCTATGCACTGCTGTCAGGCATGCGTGTGTGTGCATCATGGCCGAAAACGCATGCAGCATGCTTGCCCATGATGGTAGCGGCACAATTTGAAGGGACTGAGTGAAATGTACCTACCAACAAATGACCCAGTGGCGAGCGTAACGCTAGCAATGCAGTCTTTGTTCGGTTGCGCAATAGATAGTTGCCTCAATACCAGCCAGCATCGGATCTCCTGACGCGTATGCCTGGTGGTGTTACTAATCTTCAACTCACTGCGCTCAGCACAGATATACGCAGCAATCCCCGATTCTACAGGTCCTGTTGTCCTCCCTGTAGTCAAGCTTGTGCCAGAAACGCCAGACTTGGCAAGGTCTTGCAGTTGAGGGCTGTCAGAACATGGGGGCTGAATGAGCAACCAACCACTGGCAGCCTGTCTTGCACTGCAGGCTGTTGGTGTTATAAAGATGGACCTCTGCTGGAAAACAGCAAGCTCGGCGCTCTTTTGGATGTGCATGTGGTGATCATTGCAATGTCAAATTAGCATGAAAGTGCACACTGCAGTACTGCATGCAGGCGGCAGGGGCCCTGCAGCCCATGGGCTCGCTTTTTTGCTTTGCGAGATTTGTACTCTCTTTCTCTAGATGATTGATCGCAGCTCCTCAATGGCGTAGCCTAGTCCCATCACTGACACAGCCAGCATAAGGTTGGCAGTTTGCCGCCTTTCCATGGTGCACCGGCTGTCCCACAACACTGCCCCGATTTTATCAGCGGAGGTATCTACTTACATAATACTCAAAGCAGTAGACACTGTGTCAACCTGAAGGCGTATTTATCAGTAGCAAGCCCGTCTACAAGGTACTCACTAGTTATATCTTGGATGCATTACATAGTGACGCATGTGGCCACTTCACATGCTGACGCCGTCTAAGTGCGGTGGGGCGCCTGCCACGCTGCGACTGGTGCAATGCACAAGACACATAGGACGGGCTGTGTCTTTGTCGCGCAGTGCCGGCAATCTGAAGCATTTCTCTCTGGCCCTAACGCTTTTCATGGCATTTGCTCAGGTGACTGCATCTTTTGTACACATGCGCCGCCTCGCAGCGATGCATATGCGTGCCATCTTCCTTGCCAATGTTGAAGTTGCAACGGCTCCATGTGTGCGCCCAGCCGTTGTCGATGCAATGCAACGCATCAACTACTTATGTCACAAAGGTAGCGAGATATCTATATGCGTTGCATCAACAACACCTGGGCGCACAATGTCATGTGGCTCCCGCTGTCGGCAGACGCCCACTGGCAAGGCTGGAGTGACCGCCGGCGGCGGTGCTTACACGCATGTGCTGCACAGCTGTTGTGACAGTCGATCGTAATGGCCCTGTTGTACACAAGATGTGGTGGCGCGGGCGCTTCGCGCCCGCCACCACACATATAGGCCTCCCGGCCAAGGCGTGCCACTGGCCCAGGGCCCTCGCCGTGGACTGGACCGTGTGTCGCTTGCAGTCGGCAACCCGCCCCCCGTCGCAGCCACCGGCAAACGCAGCACCCACGATATAACATCCTCGCAAACCGCCAGCACTGGCAGGCTGAGCAGCGACAGGGCCTGGCGCAGGCCCCTGCGCCGTCCCAGTGACTCGGAAAGTGCCACGACGCGGCAGGCAACGAGGCCCGGCACCCGGCAACCGCAAGCGTCGTGGAGATGCTGCTGACCACAAGCGACGCACAGTGCGGTCCATGGCGAGGTGTCAGTGGCACGCTTTGGCCTCGAGGCTTATAGGTGCGGTGCACCATCATGATGATGGCGGGCGCGAAGCGCCCGCGCCACCACGGTGACCACGGCGTGTGTGCAAGAGGCTCCCAATGGAAGGCTCGAGCGATGTGAGCACCCGGCAACGCTAGCGTCGCAGAGACTTCGCCAACCATAAGCGACACACAGTGTGGTCCACGGCGAGGTGCCAGCCTGAGTAGCACGCTTTCGTCGGGAGGCTTACAGGTGCGGTGGCGGGCGCGAAGCGCCCGCCACAGGTGCCACCGCGGCGCGGCGAGCCGCACCTCGTGTGCCGCGGCCGCCGCAGCCATGCAAAGCGCGCGGCGGGCGCGAAGCTAGGTAATTGCACAAGGGGCCCCCAAGGAAGGCCCGGCCGGCGATGTGGCTATGTCCGGTGCGTAGCTACCAGTGTGTGCAGCTCCTGTCCGGGCGTGCACACATGCAGCTCGTGGCAAATGTGCTTCGAGGGCGCAATTGCCGCTCGAAGGAGGCGCGCTGCAAGTAGCAATGGGTGCTCGCAGAAAAAAAAAGGAAGGATTACAGGAGATAGACTATTAGTCTCAAAAAACATGAGCCCGCCCGGATTCGAACCGGGGTTGTCAGATTCAAAGTCTGAAGTCCTAAACCACTGGACCACGGGCTCTGGTATCCATACCTTGAACATTTTTGTGACCCAGACTGCTGTTTCCCCCACATTGTGATCATCTACTTTCATCGGTTTCAGGTAGTGAATGGGGGGTATCATTTTGAAGTCCTAAACCACTGGACCACGGGCTCTGGTATCCATAGCTTGAACACTTTTGTGACCCAGAGTGCTGTTACCCCCACAATGTGATAATCTACTTTCATCGGTTTCAGGTAGTGAATGGGGGGTATCAGTTTGAAGTCCTAAACCACTGGACCACGGGCTCTGGTATCCATAACTTGAACATTTTTGTGACCCAGAGTACTGTTTCCCCACAGTATGATCATCTGCTTTCATCATTTTCAGGTAGTGACCTGCCTTTTGATGCTGGTCCTGTGGTACAGAACTTCAGGCATGATTAGATCAATGAAAGTGAAGTCACACAAGGTAGGGTGTATGTACAACGGGGGGGAAGGGGGGGGGGCACATGGACGAGGACGCAGGGGGGGATCTCGGGATGCCATTTGGTGGCTTCGGTGAAGTGGTTGTCATTGAGACACTTTCAGCCTGTCGCATGATGTGAAGATTTCAAACAGCACGCTTAGATATCTCATTCATCTGGGCTTTTCCGCGCCCTGAGCGGGAATTCAGAAAGACAGTTACAACTGTTGAAACAAGGCCTCTCTGGGCCAGCAGAACTGCGCTGTCCAAGCAGCAGTACACCACACACCACCAGATCCATGCAAGAGTGATCATTGTGCAAGTGCAGGCAAGGCAGGTGACACTCCCATTTGTCACTGCTCAGCAAGCCCTCAGCATGGGGTACACACGATGCTACCATGGTACCACAACCCCCCCCCGGCTCCTAGCGAGTCGCGTCGGACCAGCGAGTTGCATAAAGGGGACGCTCCAACCAGCTATCGTGCCGAAGGCCTGAATGCGCCTATGCTGGGCTGCTAGCATGCAAGTGGACTATGGCAAGTACAGGCCTGGAGCATGTCCAGAACACGCACATTGGGCTGAGCCAGCAGCCGCTACCAAGCCCGACGCCACTGCTACTATGACCACCGCCGCGCGCAGCGGCAACGTGAAAGCCATATGTCAGTGAGCAGTGTGCATGCAGTCGCCAAAACTCAAGTGCGACAGCGCGTGTGCCGCGGCGCGCAGTGCGCGCCGCCGCCTGCTGCGTGCGCAGTGACGCGTGTGCGCGCCGCCGCCAAACTCCAAGGGCGGCAGCGCATGAACGCGCCGCTGCCTGCTGCATGCGCAGCGGCGCGTAGGCGAGCCGCCGTGTAGGGGCAGCGACGCGTGTGCGCGTCGCCGCCTGCCAAAGCGTAGGCGCACGCCGCGTCCGTAGCGCCGCCCGCCAAGTGAGCGCAGGCGCACGCCGCCAGCGCGACGCGGCCCGACAAAAGAGCATAGGCGCACGCCGCCAGCGCGACGCGGCCCGACAAAAGAGCGTAGGCGCACGCCGCAAGCTGCAGCGCCGCCCGCCAAAGAGCGTAGGCGCACGCCGCGTCCGCAGCGCCGCACGCCAAAGAGCATAGGCACACGCCGCCAGCGCGGCGCGGCCCGCCAAAAGAGCGTAGACTAGGCGCACGCCGCAAGCTGCAGCGTCGCCCGCCGAAGAGCATAGGTATACGCCGTATCCGCAGCGCTGCCTGCCAAAGAGCATAGGCGCACGCCGCCAGCGCAACGCGGCCCGACAAAAGAGCGTAGGCGCACGCCGCAAGCTGCAGCACCGCCCGCCAAAGAGCGTAGGCGCACGCCGCGTCCGCAGCGCCGCACGCCAAAGAGCATAGGCACACGCCGCCAGCGCAGCGCGGCCCGCCAAAAGAGCGTAGACTAGGCGCACGCCGCAAGCTGCAGCGTCGCCCGCCGAAGAGCATAGGTATACGCCGTATCCGCAGCGCCGCCTGCAATAGAGCATAGGCGCACGCCGCCAGCGCGACGCGGCCCGACAACAGAGCGTAGGCGCACGCCGCAAGCTGCAGTGCCGCCCGCCAAAGAGCGTAGGCGCACGCCGCGTCCGCAGCGCCGCACGCAAAGAGCATAGGCACACGCCGCCAGCGCGGCGCGGCCCGCCAACAGAGCGTAGACTAGGCGCACGCCGCAAGCTGCAGCGTCGCTCGCCGAAGTGCATAGGTATACGCCGTATCCGCAACGCCGCCTGCCAAAGAGCATAGGCGCGCGCCCTCAGAGCGACACTGCCCGCCAAGTAAGCGTAGGCGCACGCCGCAAGTTGCAGCGCCGCCCGCCAAGAGCGTAGGCGCACGCCGCGTCCGCAGCGCCGCCCGCCAAAGAGCATAGGCGCACGCCGCGTCCGCAGCATCGCGCTCCAAAGGGCGTAGGCGCACGCTGCGTCCGCAGGGCCGCGTAGTGAGAGCTGCCCTTGAGTGTGTAGTTTTTTGTACCTGCACCGCCTGTTGTTGAAATAGTCTTCTCTGCGTGGCGCCAGCTGCCGCAGCTCTGGCCACTGTCTGACTGCGTCGCGCCAATTCTGGTCGTTGTAGGGCTGCGGGCACTCCAGCCACAGGTGCTGCGCCTTCTTCTTGCAGCTGTAGCAGATGACCGGGTTGTCAGCGCCGTAACCCCCCCCACCCCCCCCCCCCTGTACAGGCCCATCATCCTTGCAAACGCCCATGGGCGTGCTTGCCAGGCAAAGTGGGCAACACCACGCCGCCCCCCCCCTTGTAAACGCCCCCCAGCAACCATAATGGTTGCAGGTTGGCACGAGGTCGCGGCGTGCTCTGCTTGGCACCATTTTAGGACCTCCTCATAGCGTCGGTGCTGCCTCCCCGGGGCCCCCTCAGTGTCAGGTCAGCTGCTGCAGCGATTGCTGTGGCGGCCGGCACCATCGCTGAACCGGGTAGGGATGACTGCTGCTGCGGCGGCACGTTTCTCACGCTCACGCAGCTCGATGGCGCGTTCCACGCTCTCGAGCACGGTGCGCATCTCCTCCAGGTCAAAGCGCGGCACGTTGGAAAGGCGGTACCGCAGTGACTGCTGCTTGAAGAACCCCGCGAGGCCGCGCTCCAGCAGCGTGATGGCTACGCATTCGACCAAGTCCGGTAGCTTGCGTCCTTTGTTGCGCGCCTGCGCCACTGCGCCAATGCTTGTCAGTAGATCATTTTTACAGTCTGCACGAGGCGGCGCGCGCACCATGTAGTTGCCGATGGTTTCGTTAGGCTGCTGCTGAAATTCGACGAACTCCTGCAACGCAGCATCTAAGCTGGTAGGCAGCGTGAAGTGATCTTCATGACCGCCTCAGCGAAGTCCCCCGGCCACGCGTTGTCGCGCCGCAATGCTGTGATGACGCTGGCAGCTTCGCCCTCCGTGACCCGCTTCATGTAGTGGAGGAAGTTGCTGTGCTCAGTGACCTTGTTGCCTTAAGGAATTGGTGAAGCTCCCCCACCCACAGAGCGATATCTTGGCGCTGCCGGTTGGCGCCGACGCCCTTGGCACCCCATAGCTTGGGTGCTTGCGCCAGCTTCTTGGTGACTAACATGGGGTGGACGGTAGCTGTCAAGGGGCCGACTATGCCCCAGTCGTCGAAGAGGCGTACAAGGAACCGCAGCGTCGGCGTCGGGCGTCGGGCGTCGGCGTCGGCTTCTTGCAACTGCCACGCAGGCCGCCAGAGCTGTGGTGGCCAGAACTGTGGCGCTTCTCGATGCCCCTGGAAGAGCGACTTTGAGCTGCTGTCGCCGCTGTAGTCTCCACCGTGACGGTCGCCGCTGCCGCCGCCGTCGCCACCGTCGCGGCCGCCGTCGCCGCTGCCGCAGCCGCCGTCGCGGCCGCCGCCGCGGTTGCCGCCGCTGCCGCCATTGCTGCAGCCGGCGCCGCCGCGCTCATCATTATCATGGTGACACTGTCTGGTATGCTGGGTGCGGCGCGTGCTGCGGCTGCTTCCGCGACCGATGCTGCTGCCGTCGTCGCTGCCATGGCCACTGTCTAGCTCGCTGTTCCTGCCGAGCGTTCGTGCGAAGTGTGCGATGAGGCGCTCCTCGCGCAACGGTTGCAGCTGTGCCGCTAGCAGGTGCTGCTCTTGCTCGCGTTGTTCTGCAATCATGCGCTGCTCTCGCTCGCGTTGACTTGCGGCCATTCGTGCTTGCGCTGCGACGACTAGGCGTTCTTTGCGTTCCAATTGCTGTGCTGCGAGGCGGTCCAACAGCTCGCAATACGTTGCTGCCCATTGCGCCAGTTGTGTCACCATCTGTGTTGCAAGCTGCGAGCCCATTCATTCTGCAAGCTCAGCCGTCTGCGCTGTATCTTGATGTCGCTGGCTTCTTCTTTGAGGATCGCTGAGGGTGAATCCCTTGCTGGCAGTCTGAGCTGAGGCGGACTCGTAGGCACTATTGGTGACCCTACGACCTGCGCTGTCGAGGGGTGCTCTGTTTCAGAATCTTTTGCTGCTGCTGCCGTAGTCTTGGTGGCTCGGCTTGGTGGCTTGACCAGACTTCCTGTTTTAGCTACAGTTGGGGAATGTTTCACAGGCATGGCTGCGCTGCTGCGGTGTGGCTAGGGATGTGCCGAGACAAAGGCTCTTGCTGTCTGGCGCACCCCCCCCTGTCGCTAGCTACTATTTGAGAAAGATATGGATCTCGGATTTCTCCGACGGTGTGTCCAGATGCGGACTCCTGGCTGGTGGTGGGGTGGCGTGAGGCGCCGTAAGCCTCAGACTCCTCCAATATTGAAACAAGCCCTCTCTGGGCCAGCAGAACTGCGCTGTGCAAGCAGCAGGACACCACACACCACCAGATCCATGCAAGAGTGATCATTGTGCAAGTGCAGGCAAGGCAGGTGAGGCTCCCACTACCACACAATGCCATAATATTTATATTATATATACATATGTGAATAAGCAGATCTCGAGAGCGGGCTCATCAATGGGGGATATCATTTTGAAGTCCTAAACCACTGGACCACGGGCTCTGGTATCCATAACTTGAACGTTTTTGTGACCCAGAGTGCTGTTTCCCCACAGTATGATCATCTGCTTTCATCATTTTCAGGTAGTG